GCGGAAGATCAGGACAGAGAAGCAGGGAGCGTGGGTCATGTGGTCCGTCCCTACCAATCGCAGCGCGGCTACTGTGACTGAGCCGCAACAAAAACACAGCTTTACATTCATTCAAGAGCGCAGAGAGGGCGCCACTGACGTCTTGTGAGGAGGGAAGGTGGATGCCGAGGATCTCTATGGTCAAGTGGACTCTGTACACTTCAGAAGCAAATGCAAAAAAGCCCTGAACTGTTTCAAAAGAAGAGATACACTGTAAGTAATGAATCGGGGCACAATTTCCTTCGGGATCAATAAAGTGTTTATCTATCCATCTCTTGTTAGGTGGTTTCACAGCTCAAAAAATAAAGTGTTTTCTAGAGCACAAGAATTTTTCCAATTACAGTGGATTCTGGATCACTTGGGACCAACTGCGAGATTCTAGTCTTGGGCGGCATCCGGATTCAGAAAGATAACTTCTTCCTTATTCTATAAAATGTATGAAGGATAAACGTCCCATTTAACTTGACCTTTTGTCAAGAGAAATGCAACACATGTTAATATGTTTTAATATTAATATAAGTATTCTAATGGCATATCACAAAGCTTGATAAAACAGAAGAAAGGAAGGAATTTGGATGCAGCCCTGGTTTATAACAACTTTCTTTTTGTTCTCTTTAGTCAACTATTTTAAAACTAGACTTGCCTTCCATAATAGTTCTAGAGAGGGCGCCACTGACGTCTTGTGCGGAGGGAAGGTGGACATGGAGGATCTCTACGGTCCTGCTGACTTGTACATCAGTCATCTTTAGTCCAGCAACAAGCACATTGTGATAAAGGTCACAGATGAGTCACAGTCACATGACAAGCAAGAATAGAAGATGTATATGTACCTCAAAATGATCCAAGTTCTACAAGGGTGTTCAAACTATTTAATTAGTTCACCAGAGGTCGCAAACCCAGATAGTAAAACAGCTTTGACTGGATAGGGTTGTTCTGAGCTTTAAAATGAGGTATGTTAAGTCCACATAGATTCACATTTGACAGTTTACTAGCGTTTACTGTCTCAACATAGCTACATTAGCGCCATAATGACATTTTGGGACATAGTCAAAAACAATCGTCAGTTTATACTAGGGATGCACCGATACCACTTTTTTCAAAACCGGAAAAATACGAGTACCTTCATTTGACACTTCCCGATACCGATACGAGTACTGCACACATTAAACTGCATTGTGTTATCCCATGGGAATTCATAAAGCTAATACAACTGAAATTTTAAATGTTTTATTCCTAATTTCAGCAATAAGAACATGCTTTAACAATTAAACATTTAAGCAATTGTTTTAACAGTCAACAATAATAGCCACTGTCATATTCCACTCATATAAATGGTACAAAGAAATAGCTCCGGTGCTATCAAAGGGGACTCATCACCAAACTGCTACAGAATACTGATACCAAACTGCTTGTAGTAACACTGTGGTAAATTAAGCTAGCAACGATAGCGTGCCAACAAAGTACACATTAGACCTGTTACATCTGAATGAGGTGATCACACATGTCTGACAGTTTTGCGCCCTCTGCCAGATCCACTCCTCTGCTGTGAGATATGCTCCCGATACCAGGAGCCAGTACGAGTACGAGACTGACACTGGTATTATCAAGTGATTAAGATTAAGAAATGGCACCATCGATTACAGAACAGCAGGAATGAGGACCACAGAAGCAAGAATTAAGTAAACGGGGTGCATCCATACATGTTGATTTGATTATAAGGTTTTCATGATCTCATACTATACAGTGGATATTGTGACACACTGACATCCGTTCTCCGCAAATATTGGCGAACAGACTCATCCCTGGGCCGTGGTGCAGCTGGACATCTGGAGCAGATCGGAGCAGGAGCACAGAGGGAGGAGAGTCCGACACAAAGGCCTGGTTCTTCTGTGGTTCCCCGACACCCCTCATTAGAACTCTCCCTCAGTGCTGCTCCATCTGCTCTGGCAAATGTATACTATTAAGCCTCTTTACGTGGGGAGCACACAAACAAAGGGCCAGCCATTAACGAGAGCTGGGCTTTTCACTTGTGCAAGTTTAAGACACATAAAAGACGAGGTTTTCTTCAAGTGGTAGAGATGCGCGGGCACATGGACTCGGGTCAAGCAAATGCTAAAGTCCTTAACCGTTTCAAAAGAAGAGAACTAATTCAAGTACCGGATCAGGGCACACTTGTTTGGTGGTTTCACATCTCCACAAATAAAAAGTGTTCTCGTGACCTAGCAGTATGATTAAAATTGACTGTGGTTCAGGGTGGCATCCGGATCCAGAAAGATATCTTCTTCCTTATTCTTTAAAATGCATGAGGAATAAACATCATATTTCACTTGACTTTTTGTGAAGCGAAATGCAACACATGTAAATATGTTTTTAAAGTATTCTATGGTACAGACAATGTCATATCACAAGGGTCAGTAAAAAAAGAGGAAGGATGAGGACAAGGATAATTTTGTCATACATTTGGATGCAGCCCTGGTTTGTAACAACGTTCTCATTGTTCTCTTTACTCAGCTATTTTAAAACTAGACTTGCCAAAACACAATATTCTCTAACAGGCAAAACTGATATACGGATTGAGAATGGATTATGGATTATGGAATTTAATGATAATTTTTAAGAAGCACCATAACATTCAGACTATTGTCACTGAATACTAGTCGCACCAACTACATTTAAAAAGACAAAAACTATACACAGGCCGCACTATTACTGGTTTAATCCTGATACAGAAGGTGAGGCCTGAAGCATTCTATTTTAGTTTTTACAAAATGTAATGACACAAGTGTTTGGGATATTTTGTCTGACCCTAAATAGATGTCCAAGAAAACTCCGCCCCTCAGGCTAAGTTGAAATCCCCGGCCCTTAGGCAACCTCTATAAAAGGGATGGGAAATTATCTTCTTCATGGAGCCCCATTTAATCGCCCTTTTGAGGAGGACCAGACCTGTTTTCATGTGGTTAATTTATCTATTTTAATCAATTATTTGTTTAATTAACATACATTAAGATATGCAGTGTTTTATGTGCATTTGTGGACATCTTGTTTTGAGCAAATTAGTACAAATAACATCCTAGGTTCATTAGATAGAACAGAGTAGATGTATACCAAATGCAGGACATCATGATTCGCCTACTGCTTCTTTCCACAAGCTGTTATCGGTTAAAACAAAGTACTTGTTTAAAAAGTAGTGACAAATGTTTCTGTATTTTTAAGCTTGTTTTGTTCATGTACTTGTTGTGTGCACACTGGGGACTATTGCACATGACAAGTACAATTAATCTGAATCTAACATGCCATGGTAGTACGTAATTACAAGCATTCATTGAGTATTTATTTAAGTATATAAGCATTCACTTAAATAAGCAACGCATATGAATGTGAATCGGGCCGGATGTGGAACCAAGGCCATACTTTGTCCAGGTCTGATCTGAAGAGTGAAAGCATCTTTACCGGCACATCTGATGAGCTTTTTCTTTAAAGTGGTCATCTGACGGCACCACATGACCCTGCACAGCCCGAGGTCTTACTGCACCATGAGAGCAAAGGCTTTGTACGATGTATGGAATATTTCGACAGCCGGGCCTCGAGCACCGGCACAAATGATGTCAGCCCCATACACCATATTACTGTGTACGGAGGCTAACTCGGCACACAAGGGCCGAGCATCAAAGAAGTGACATGTCAAAGGAAATGGGAAGCGCAGTGTACATGTAAACTTCCGAATTCCACTGTAGGCAAGTAATCAGAATCCAAAAAGCAAGAGGAGAAAGGCTCTTAGCTCCCACTAGGCCAGTCATATTAACTATTTTTGACACAGGATACATTGCTCCTGTAAATTATTGTGATAAACAATAATATTGCTTATCCCACTGATGAAAGTAATTCAGCAGGATGATCCCAGTATTATTTCCTTTCCCAAAATGATAGAAATCTTTAAAATAGGTGTACGATGAAAGTAATGCATCACTTTGTCATTTTGGACCCTTCAACAGCTAAAATGATTGGTCAATAATAGCTGGTCAGGTCTGGCTCGAACAGGCTGCTTCACACATCGGGAGTGTTTTCAGGCTTTCTGAGGCATTTGAACGACTTTGGAACAGCTTATTCAGGCAGTGAAATGTAGAACTACATTATCAGAACAGAGCGGCAACTACTGATTTGCAAAACGATGAACAAAAAACGTCATCAATTTATTCTATTCTACTTCACAATCATATAGATGGCAGGTTTATGAGAGAAACAGAGCAGTGATCTACAGAGCCAGAATCAGCTGACCCTCAGCTGACTGGGCCCTAAACTCTTCTCCTCTTTCGTTTTATGTGGCTCTATTTATATTTTGCAGCTTTTTGAAGGTACACCGCAGCTCTAAACCAGGCATTCTTGTGTTGCAGCCCCCCACTGCTCCTGCCAGGTTTCTCCAGAAGGCTTGCAATATTGGCTGTATGCTTCAACGAATACACAACGATTAACAGGAACAACACCACTTATCTTGACATGTAATGTGTTTGCAAAGAGAATAGTGTTTGTCTGTTCCTTAAGCTTGTATGTGTTGGAGTGTTTTAGGATCAGCTGCAGTTGCGTTCTGCAGACTCCTGCAGAGTCTTATGTCACTTTAATTTCGATGACTCAGAGTTACAGGCCCACTCTTTCACATCCTGGTGCCTCAAAAAACCCAAAATATACCCAAGCACAGAGGCTTGCCCTGCCCAGAGTGTACAGCGAAAGCTTCTATGACTTGGGACTATAAATCACCATGTGCATATACACTGTGCAGAGACAAAAGCACATGCACGCCTCCACAAGCGCTGCAAAGAGCCAGTGATGCTGAACAAACAGACTTCTGAATCCCTCCACTTCCCATCCCATCCCACATCGCCTTTGTGTGAACACTAAAAGAAGGACTTTTGGTCAAAGTAGAGCTGCCACTGGCCTGCAGGCCGCGGGACTGAGGCTGCTGCCACATGAAACAGAGTGCAGTCTGCAAGAGTCTGAAATCTGAAAACATGCCTCAGGCTGAGGATCAAGTATGTCATCATATTTCAATATTGGGTCTGAAAGGACACACAGGGAGAAGGATGGGTCAAATGTTCGTCAACTTTGTCAAACTTAAGGATTTGGGATTCAATACTTGGCTTGACCGCATGTGTGTTGCTGATACTTACACCAGCCTGACACCATATGTTGTGTTTTTATAGCTGCATTAAAAAATGCACTTCATTTAAAAATTAACCTCAGAGCTGTATATCAAATCAAGACTTTTCATATAATTCAGACTTACAGTGTGGTATCATCAGATTATACTTGCCATTACGTGTGCAGATACCAATACAATAAACTGTACAGTAGCCACAAGTAAATGTTGTCAGCAGGTCTTAACTTCTGACACTTTAAAGCCCACAAAGGCTCCATGTGACTGGGTCACACAATGATAGTGTATGTTGACAGGGATCAGTATCAGCACCACCTACATGTGGCTTAGCTATGAGCTCAGCCATCTTTATCAGGAAAGATAGCGTCAACTTGATCTTCAAAAAAAACAGTGGAGTTAAATGACTTAGGAGAACATCCATGTAAGGCTGAGGCTGGGTCATATGACAAAAATAAATCTCTAAATTATCTCTAACATTTCTCAAAGGCCTGGTTTCACTAAAACAAGTGGTTTCTTGCCTTCACTGTTAATGTGGATTGTCCAGATTCAAGGCTGGAGTCGCACTACAGACCACAGGGATCAAAGCTCCACCACAAATAGAACTGTGGCAGACAAAAAGGGCCCAGGCTCCGCGTCAGAGCATGATTCCACCGCACATGATGAAGAATGGCTCAAAATACCGCTCAGATATAGACACCAGTGGATCTGTTACATGGGCTCCCGGTGTGGGGGTGTGGAGGGGGTGAGGGGGGGTCTGCTAACCTGCCTGGCAACCGTCAAAGCGGCTCGTTACGCGGACACGAGCCCCCAGAGCCCCCGGTGACAGCTCCACTCCGTCACAACACCTTTACCGTGATGCTGCCGTCTCCATGGCGACCCGGCCCCGCTTGGCGTCCGTGCCCAGGGCGGGTCCAGTCGGGGACAATGGAGGACGGAGGGGGCACCGGGGGAACGGAGGATTTGTTTCACCCCACTGCTCTTGATTGGCTGTTAGTGTAACGCTCAGTGTAAAGAACAATGTATATGTCCCCCCCGGGCCTGGGTGGGCCGACAGCACGGTCATGGCTCTACGTGACCACCGTAAAGCAGAACGTAACAGCAAAACAGACCAGGCTTTGAAGTGGTGTGTGACTAACGGGATAATACCATGATAATACTGTGATAATACTGTGATAATACTGTGATAATACTGTGATAATAGTGTGTGAAATGTGCGGTGAGAGATGGAGGGAGGGAGCGGAGGCTGAGCTCGGAGCGCGTCTGTCATAGGTCAAACAGCGTGTCTTCATATTTACGGTCTATGGTCTTACCTCATGGTCTCCTGGTGCTTTTCTCTCACAGATAACTCTCTCTTCGTGTGTCCAGCTGCACAGAATACAAGTCTTTGATGCCGTGCACTTGCACACAGCGGTCCGTGTGGCGGGGGTCGCTAAGCCTGGAGAGGAGCCGTGTGCTTTGTGCTCCTCGGTGTCTGCTTCACACTGCTCCAGGGGCTCCGGGTCCCAGCTCCCATCTCCGCGGTCAAACACGGTCAACAGAGCGGGAGAGAAGCCGCCGTCTCCCGCAGGCTGCTCCCATTCACGCTGTTGTGGTGAGCTCCGAGCTGGACAGATTTAGGGGCAAAGCTAATAGGGGCGCAGAGGAAGAAGTGTGGCGGTCTGGGATAATGGCGCCCCCATGTGGACCAGAGGTGAGCCTGGAGTTTACGGTCTGGAGCATAGACGGTCTACTCGATAACCAGGAGGAGCTCATGTGTTCTAACCAGACTTTGTATAGAGCGCTCATGAGTTATAATGGAGGAGGTTCGCTTAGAAAATTATTATTATAAACATCCGGGACATGTTAGCGCCATATGAACCAACCCGGACAATGAGGAGCACAGGGTCTGGAGTCCAGAGTCAAGAGGCAGTGGTTCAGATGGATGCAGAAAAAATTGGAACAGTCTTCCTGAAAATGTGAGGCAGGATTTTAGTCTGACGATGTTCAAGTCAGGGTTAGAACAGTTCTGTTTAGCTGTGCATACATCAGAAGGATTTTATCTTCACTCTTTTTGAAATACTGTGATTATTTATTTTATTACCAGCCTTCTGTGATTTCTGCCTTGCCTGTGTGTGTTCCACACAATACCCAAATTCTGTGTCAGCAGTTCTTTGTTTTGTCTTTTTTCACTCTATGAGTTTAAGTCAGGTTCATTCACAATGAAGTGGTGTTAAAGACACCAAAATGCTGCCTTCATGCACATTAGAATGCTCTAAAACAGGGGTCTCCAACCTTTTACACCTGTAGAACTCCTTTCTCAGGATTTGAATGAGACAGAGCTACTCCTTTAGGGAGAGTATTGAATGGATGGGGTACTATCAACAGTCATTATTTATTACATTTTCAGTTTCAATTTCCTAGAGTAATGGGCATGTAAATCCTAAATATCCAAGCTCCCGAGCCAGAGGTTGGAGACCCCTGCTCTAAAACCAGGGGTAATGACACCAAACATTGGAGTTCATCAAAAATACACAATATGTGGACATTATGGAGTAAAACAATTGTATTTCAGTTTCATGATGTATGTTAGCCATTTTAACATATTTAATGTCATACAGTGGATATGTAATATGTCTATTACATGGGGACACAATGTTTCTGCTGAAATAAACAAGTGATCAGTCAGTCACTCAAATTGATTAGTGGTTCATAGAAAGTTCATTATACGTATTGGTATTTCATTTTGGACATTTTAGACTTTTCAACACTGTGATGATCGTGATCCGACTTCAGTGCAACGCTCCGTATGGAAACCTGTCATCCCCACTCGCACAGGTCTTTGTTCTAGTGCTTTCCTGAGTTAATAAATAAAAATGCAAACATATTAGAAAATTACATAAAAATATCTTTCCATGCACAGTCTGTCTCCAATACTTTGATTGTGAGTGGTTCTCAAGGCCACAGCAATCTTCCAAACAGCACTGTGTGACATCATTCTGGGGCCTTTGGTGGCAGATATGAGGTTAGTCCTGGTGACTATAGGCTACAGTATCAGTCAGGGAGTAACCAGAATGTGAGATTAAAGCACAGATGTACACTTCTTTAGTTCCTTCTCTTCTCTCCTTGTGTGTTTGGTCAGGTCTGTGCTGGATCCTCCTCTGCAGGTGTGTTTCTCAGACTCAGACGATCCTCCACTGCAGGATGCTCATGTCCTTTCCTCCGGTGGTGACGAGGCAGCTGTCATCCAAAAGGAAGCTGGCATTGGTCACATGACTGCTGTGGCCGCCATAAACGTGACTGGGCGCCTGCAACATGACACACGAGATAGTGATGAGATTTCATGTAGAGAACAGCATTCATGATCTCATAGAAGTTACCATCTTACATTTAATGAACATGCAAAGATGTTTTTTAGAGATGCTTTGTGAAACAAACAGCAGATTTATCTATGAAACTACGTAAAGTAAGAAATAATATTTTCAGTAGAAAACAAGGTGGAGGGTAACTAATGCTTTCTGTCTGAAACTCTGCTGCCACCTGAGGGAGGAGCTGAGTGCCAGAATTACCATCTGCAAACACAGATATTGTAGGGAACTTCTTATCAGCAGAGAAATTGACAAAAAAAATTATGTGCAATACTTTTTTTTTTTTTTTTATAATTTTTTTTTTTTTTTACTTTCAGTACAAAAATAAAAATAGAAAAAACAAGGTTCTCATCTAGTTTGGTGACAGACGGAGTACAAACAGTTGGGATAACAATGAGACAATGAAAAGTCTGTCATAATGAGCTATAACAATTTTTTTTTTTTTTTTTTTTTTCCTCCCCAAAACATGGGTGTAGAAATAAAAATTCGACATGTAAAAGCAAGACATACTAAAAATACAAAGAAAGAAAACAAAAAAAAACATAACATTGACAAGTGTGTTCATATCATTATTTACTTTGGTAAAGTATCCCCTACCCCCTCTCTTGTTTCAGACAAAGTCTGGTCTCCTGTCCTTTATGTACTGTAACCACCCCCTCCAGAACATGTCACATTTTTCCTTCTGAAGTCGCAGAGACATTGTAAGTCTCTCCATCACAAATATCTGGTGAATTGTATCATACAGATCATCCATTTCTGGTACTTCTACTTGGAGCCATTTCCTTGTAATAGTTTTCTTGGCAGATAATAATATTATTCTCAGTAGATATTTGTCTGCTGTTTTAAGATTTGGGGTGTCTTTCCCTAAATATAGATATAGGAACTCAAATGGAAAATTGAATTTAAAAATTTCAGTCACACATGTATGAATCTGTTGCCAAAAGGGCATCACTTTTGGGCATGCCCAGAATAGATGATGATGATTGGCCACCTGGCTGCCACACAGTCTCCAACATCCCGTTCCTACATTTAGGTGCCTTTTTTGGGCTGGGGTCATAAAAAAAACGTATCATATTTTTCCATCCGAATTCTCTCAAAGTCATGGAAAATGTTGTTTTCCATTGTATTTTGCAAATTAAATCCCAGTCCTCATCAGCCACAACTAAGCCCATCTCCATCTCCCACTTTTGTTTGACATATAAAGTATTATTATCTGCATTTTCCTGAAGCCCCTGGTATATCCTTGAAATAACTTTTGTAATCATATTAGTGTTGTATGCTAAATTAAATACTGTTAATAACTTGCTATCATTTTTGTCCTTATTGGCACAGATAATCTCAGTGAACCGATTCCTCATTTGTAGATACCGAAAGAAATCTTCATTTCCAAGTCCATATTTCAGCTTCAGAGTTTGGAAATCAGATAGCTGCCCCTTATGTAACAAGGTTAGATATGAGGTAAGACCTGCATTTACCCATATTCTATATCGTTTGTCATTACGATTAGGTAGGAAGTTTGTGTCATAAGCACACCATCTTAAAATCTGATCTGCTCTGTTTAACTTGTTCTCCTTACAAACTTCCTTCCAGATATTTAGAGTAAATTTTACCCAAGGATTTATTGGTTCCTCCAGGTGAGACTGCAGTGTCTGGTCTGCTATCATGGCTTGCACTGGAGGACCATCACTCAGTCCCTCTTCAATCTCTTTCCATTTTGCTTTGAAAGCTGGATTACATAAGCAAATTAGTGGTCTCAATTGTGCCGCATAGTAGTAGTTCTTCAGACATGGCAGGGATAGTCCCCCTTTTTCTTTCCCCATTTGGAGTGTACTATATCTTATCCTGGGTTTTTTCCCCAACCATATGTAACGAGAGATTAATTTATCAAGTTCTGCAAACTGTTGTTTTGAGATGGGGATGGGGAGTGTTTGGAAGAGGTAAAGTAAACGTGGAAGGATACTGATCTTAATAGATTCTATCCTGTTCATCAGACCAAGAGTTGGTATGAGACTCCATCTTGATATGTCTAGTTTTATTTTTGAAATGGTTGGGTTGTAATTCTTTTCAAAGAGTTTTTCAAGATCTCTACTTATAACAACACCCAGATACTTCATGGAGTCCTGGTTCCACTTGAAGTTGTACTTAGTTCTAAGTTCTTTTGAGGGATCAAAGTTGAACGTCATAATCTGAGTTTTCTGAACATTTAGTTTATAACCTGACAGGGCTCCAAATTCTTCTAATTTCACTTCACTGTATCCAACAGATCAGTGAGTGGATGCAAAACAACTTCCTTCAGCTAAACGCAGACAAAACTGAAATGATTGTCTTTGGTCCCCAGAAACAAAGAGAGAGCGTCATCTGTCACCTACAGTCTCTCTCCCTAAAACCTTCAAACAAGGTCAGAAATCTAGGGGTAATACTGGACTCAGACTTAAATTTTAATAGCCACATCAAATCAGTAACATCAGCAGCTTTTTACCATCTAAAAAACATTGCCAGGATCAAAAACATAGTGTCTAAAGCAGACTTGGAGATTCTTATCCATGCATTTGTCTCCAGTAGGTTAGACTACTGCAATGGCCTGCTCACAGGTCTGTCCAAACAGGCTGTAAAACAGCTGCAGTACATTCAAAATGCAGCAGCTTGAGTCCTGACTAGAACCAGGAAGTACGACCACATTAGTCCGGTCCTCAGGTCCCTGCACTGGCTTCCTGTGGCTCAGAGAATAGACTTTAAAACAGCTCTGCTTGTGTACAAATCTCTCCATGGCCTCGCACCAAACTATATTAGTGACATGTTAGTCCCATATGAACCAGCCCGGACTCTGAGGAGCACAGGGACTGGACTCCTGTTAGTGCCCAGAGTCAGAACTAAACATGGGGAGGCTGCTTTTCAGATTCATGCTGCTAAAATCTGGAACAGTCTTCCTGAAGATGTGAGACAGGCCTCCTCTCTGACAATGTTTAAGACAAGGTTGAAAACAGTTCTGTTTAGCTGTGCATACAACTGAGGGATTTTATATTTTTATCTTTTTTTAATGTACTGTGATTATTTATGATTTGAATGCTTTCTTGTTCTGTTCAGCACTTTGAATTGCCTTGTGTATGAATTGTGCTATATAAATAAACTTGCCTTGCCTTGCCTTGCCTTGCCTTGCCTTAATTTTGTCATCAGGGCAGGTAGAGATGTGCTGGGCTTTCCCAAATATATCAGGACATCGTCAGCAAAAAGAGACAATTTTTGCACTCCAGCTTTCATGTTGATACCTTTGATAAGATTGCTTTGCCGGATGCTCTGGCTAAGAGGTTCCATAAACAAAGCAAATAGGCTCGGTGAAAGAGCACAACCCTGGCGACAGGAGCGTTCTAGTGTAAATGAATTTGATAAATTTCCATTGATTTTGATCCTTGCTGTTGGTTTGTTGTATAATGATTGTATTGTCTTGATAATAGTGTTGTGAAATCCGAATTTCTCCATCACTTTATATAGGTATGTCCATCTGACAGAGTCGAACGCTTTTTCAGCGTCTAACCCCATCAACATAGCCTCGGTGTTATTATTTTTAATATGGTTCATGACATGGAGCGTCCATCTTATACTATCTTGAGTCTGTCTTTGACTGATGAAACCTGTTTGGTCCAAATTTATAAGTTTAGGCATGATTTTATCCAATCGTTTAGTTATAATGGATGTGAATATTTTGTAATCCAGATTTAAGACCGATATTGGACGATATTGGCTGCAATTGTATTTGTCTTTCCCTTCTTTTGGAATGACTGAGATTACTGCCTCCCTCCAAGAGGGAGGAACTTCACCACCCCCGAGTACCCAGTTACACACCTTCGTCAGTCTCGGAGTTAATTCCTCTCTATAGGTTTTATACCATTCACATGTAAAACCATCTGAACCTGGGCTTTTACGTGGTTTTAATCTAGAAATGGCAGCCTTAATTTCGTTATCAGTAATTTCTTTTATCAGTGTGTCATTTTCCGGTTTTGAGACCCTAGGGAGGTTCAGTGAATGCAGAAATGCATCAATTTGATGGTCATTATTTAATTTAGGTTGGGAGTATAAGTCTTGATAGTAAGTCTCAAAACTTTTTTGTATTTCCAGAGTGTCGCTATGAAGAGCGTTCGTTTTTGGGTGTTTTATTTTATAAACTGTACAGTCTGCTTGCTGTTTTTTTAATCTGAAAGCTAGCCATTTAGTTGACTTACCACTGGTTTCGTAGAAGCTTTGTTTTGTAAATAATAATTTTTTCTTTATTTCTTCTGAGTATAAAGCCTCAATTTCATTCTGTATTCTTTTTATTTCCAATGTTTTGTCTTTGTCAATCGTATTTTTATGTTGTCTTTGCATGTTCTTTAGCTTAACTTGAAGATTATTTAATCTCTCAATTCTTTGTCTCTTAAGCCTTGAAGTGCATTGGATCAGTTTCCCCCGAATAACAGCCTTGTAGGCATCCCATAGCACAGCTGGTGTCACTTCTTCATTGTCATTTTCTTGAAAATACAACCTAATTTCCTCCTTAAATTGATCTCGAATTTCAGGGTAATTTAAAATGTTGGAATTGAGTCTCCAATTTGTTAATTTGTATACTTCGTTAAGATGAATCGATAAGTATATTGGGGCGTGGTCTGATAAATCGATTGTACCTATATCACACGTTTTAACTCTATGTCGGTCTTTCTTAAAGGTGAACATATAATCAATTCTCGAATAAGTTGAGTGGGGAGCAGAGAAATGTGTATAGTCCCGTCCTGATGGGTAAAAGTCCCTCCATATGTCAATAATACCAGTTTCCTCCATAACACCTTTCAACTTCTTTGTCAATGATTTTGTTTGTATTGTGTTGACCTTTGAACTGTCTAGTTTGGATAATCTCACATTCATATCCCCACCGCATATTAGCATTCCTTCTGTTTCGGAGACCATAAATTCAATAATGTTCTTATAGAAAGAATAATCACTTCCTGGTGGTGCATAAATATTGAAGATTGTTACAGGAAAGCCGTCTATTTTCCCTTTCACCATTATATAACGCCCCTCTTTATCCCTTTTGACTGAACTATATTCAAAGCAAATCTGGCGTGTAATCAAAATAACGACCCCTCTCCGATGGCCTGATTTGTATGATGATGCATATACATATTTATAAAGACCTTTTTCTAGGTTTTTATGCTCCAGGTCCGACAGGTGGGTTTCTTGCAGGAGGGCAATATGAATGTTTTCCTTTTTAAGTTTAGATAATATTTTTGACCTTTTTTGTGGATTCACAATTCCATTTACATTAAAGGAGAGGATATTTAAGTTAGGATTAATATGTGGCATTTTTATGGTAAGAAAATTCTCTTTTCACACCCAAACACCTTGCCTGAACAACGCTGTACTGAACCACAGCGGAAAACAAAACAAATAAACATAAAAATGAGGTAAGAAAAACCTCCTTTAGTGGGGTTGTAGGTAATAAACCCTGTAAGACTTGATGTTGTTCAGTCTTTTGGAGAGTTGTCCCCCCAGTGAGGAGCGGGCTCTCTGGTGGAGTGTCCTTAAGCACTGCTATGTACATGTTAGCCTCTGTCCTCCCGGCATATTGAAAACAATAAAAATAAAAATATTGGAAATAAACATTGTGTAACATTTACATGACGGATATATTGAAGAGAGTCAACTTATTATATAATCTAGTGTCCACATGTTACTTATTTTAACTTTCAGACCTGAATCAGGCGTCCTGCCTTTAAGCTTGCTCCCATCGGTATTGTTGCAGTCTTTCCTTGACAGATGAAGGTGCCGCTTGTCTCGTGGTCTCGGGGTGCAGCGGTGTCCCTCTTTTCCTCTCGACGGTGTCCCAAGTTAGCTTTTTGATCCGCGACAGCAAAGTCTCGGGTGGTTTATAGACTGTAACCGGGAAGCCTCTTTCTCTCATGTCTTTAGTTGCATCCTCAGCTGAGTTATAAAGCTTTACTCCGTCTTGGTAAAAGACTCTAAGTTTTGCAGGGAACGGGGTCTGGAACCGTATCCCTCGCTGTTTTAACATCTTCTTCGCCTCCATATAGGACTGCCTCTGTTTGAGTACCTCTGGTGCATAATCATTGTCAAAGCTGATCTGCTTACCCTTCCAGAGGAATCCCTTTGATTGCCAAGCTTTTCTGAGAACTTCATCTTTTACCTTGTAATTCAAAAAGCGAGCAATTATTGATCGCGGTGGTGCACCATCTGGAGGCACGGCTGCCAAGGCCCGGTGTGCTCGTTCCACATGCAGGTTCAGTGTCGGGGGAAGCTGTAGATTTTCTTTCAAAAGTTTTTCAACAAAGTCAATCATAGATGGGGAATTATTTTCTTCGCCTTCAATTACACCGTATATCCGAACATTGTTCCGCCGCGAACGTCCTTCTTGGTCAATGAGTTGGGATTCCAGTTTTGCCTGTAGTTTTAATAACTCTCCCATCACGTCCTCCATTGTTTGGATCCGCTGCTCCGAGCCCGAAACCCGATCCTCCACCTCCTCCAGTCTAGCGTTAATCGTCTGTATCTCTTCTTTCACTTCTTTAAGTTGTTGCGCATTGTCTTTCCTGAAATCCTTGATTTCCTTAAATATCATCTTTAGATTAATATCTTCCTCTGCCATGACTTCTTCACAGTTAGCTTCAGTCACGGTGTCATCATTAGCATTGCTCGACGTGTCATCTCCGCTAGCGCTAGCTTCATTTTCTTCGACCTCCTTTACCGTCAGTCTCCTCGTTTTGGTCTTTTTATTTCCTTTCATCTTCACCCCTTCTTACAACGAACGTATTCACCAAGTTTCCCGTTGTTTTTCGAGTTTTAAGGGTTTTTTTTGAAAATTTGCCGAGAGCAGGTAGTTTTACGCAGCCACTTTCATACGTGCCCCGGAAGCACCTCCGTGCAATACTTTTTTATAGTGAATAAACCAAATAGATCTGAGATTGACAATTTACAGTACATGTTTTTTATTCTATATATTTTGGTGGTGAACTGCTAACTGCTGCAAGTAAACAGTGTGTTGCTATGGTAACTAGCAACTTTTTTGGTTGAAAAACCAACTAGTCCAGAACCAGTCCTGAACCAGCCGAGCCGTCAAATTGACTGCCTTGGCAGTTCTAGTGTTAAAACAGCCCAAAATGAAACATAATCAATTCCAGTCTGAACACACGTCTTCATATCAAGCCAAATGTTCTAACGAGCCTCACCCTGAATTGTGAGCAGGGGAAAGAGAACAGATGGACTTTCCCAAAATCATCTCCGGTCGCCAGGAGCCTCTTGTCTCTGGACGTACACACAGCGTTGATGTCGGTCCCGTCCGAACCGTCGGGCCACACGCCTGAGAAATGCAGCCGTTAAGAGACACCATAATAAGTGTTTGTGTAGTTTAAGACGCTCCATGTTAAGGTCAAAATAATTACCAAAAACATTGAAGCCCAGAGTGCATGTGTTGGTGGCCCACTCGATGTCCCTGGTGGTCTCCACACTCACCACCTGCTTGCACACAGACGGGATCCCTGCACACATACATCAGCCTTCCATGATTTTCTTTGACTTTTTACATTCATCAATCAATCAAAACTATGGAAGTAGATTGAACACAGAAACAAAAAATCATGACGGGGCAGAAAATAAGATTATACTCACAGAACAAAATTTCATAGTCTCCTGAGTTTGAGACCAGGTATTGGGAATCCACAGACCAGTCCAGGTGAGTGATGAAGCTGGAGTGGCCCTGCGTCATAAATAGTATATTTAGATCAGCTTTTTCAAGATAATATGCTTTCAAATAAGATAGAGACAGTGTGTTGTGGTCTGAAGACTCAAAAACACATATTTAAGCGAACAAAAAGTCAGGTACTCCAGTTTTAAGAACAAATACATAGATGATAAAATTGTGGCTCACCGAACACTTGCCCACTCTGCTGTACTTGCGCCCTCTTTCCCCCACGGCGTAGATGTAGATGTAATTGTCGTGTGATCCGATGGCCAAGAAGTTTCCGTCTACATCCGAACATGACACAGAGATGGAGCTTTTCTTTAGATCTGTGTGTTTAGTGTTAGCGTCAACATTGTAGCAGCCTCCGAGTCCTACCTGGTCCATATTTCACTGTGGAGAGCTGCTCGTTCCCGTCTGTGTGAACCGCTACTAAGTCTTTGGAGTCAGTGTCCAGCACCAGCCACCTGCACCAAACACACGGGCAGTGGTCACACACACACACACACACACACACACACACACACACACACACACAAGCAGTAGTCAAACTTGTACGCACACACACACAAGTAGTCAAACAGGCACATGTATGTAGACTCAGGTGCGCACAGACTCACATGCACACAGTCATCAAACACGCGCACACACGAGCAGTAATCAAACACGCACACACACAAGCAGTAATCAAACACACACACACAAGCAGTAATCACACACGCACACACAAGCAGTAATCACACGCACACTCACTCATACAGACAAGACACAGATTCAAACACTCTCCGACCATTCACCTCTCTCTCTTTACACACTTTGGCCTACATGCTAAAAACTGTCAACAATATGTTTCTGTTTTTGTTTTTTCAAGCTTATGACGCTGTACCTGCCAGTGTGGGTTCCTATGGCAACCACATCTCCAGAGGGGTGGAATCCTGCGGACTGGGCGGTGTCCTGCCATAAAGAAAACAGACACACAAGAATGAAAGATTTGGAATGTTGCAGTTTACAAACATTCATGGAAGAATTTCAACAAATAACAATCCTTTTGCTTTGGGAACATAATATTCACTTTCTGTATCCTGCATTTCTTATCACAAATTCCTAACTTTATGAAAACAGACGTTGGCCTTAGCGGTCTGTTAAGATATTCAAGAAACACTGTATTATATATATTTATCAAGGACTTATTAAAAAAGTTACATAATTTTTCAGCCCTCTGAACACAAGATCTCAGGATCATTTGCTTTAAAAATCTGATAGAACTGAACTAAAGCTTTTGACTATTTTCCATCTCAAGAATTGTATTATTTTAAATGAACACTCTTTCACATTTTAAATCATTTCATTTCATTTCATTTCATTTCATTTTCATTTCATTTTCAACCCCTTTATTTGTCCATTTCTGGGTCGGGGGGGTGGCAATGAGAGCTGCCACCCAATGCTCATAGCACCAGTCCCTCGCTGATCTTCTGCAGGGGGTGAGTCCACAGGAAGATGGCTGCTCCATCAGTTGAGAAACTGCCTTGATCTTTCAGCGGGGGGCTTCAGGCAATGTGGGGTTAAGTGTCTTGCCCAAGGACACAACGACAGTAGACATCAGTGGGCGCAGTTGGAGTAGGTCCCATGGTGGGAATCGAACTCACGACCCAAAGGCCAATGCTCTACCAACTGAGCTACTGTCGCCCCGAATGATTTAAATGATTTTAAATCATTAGTTATATAAAATGTTTTTGATTCTCTGATCTGTGTTGGAAAATACCACGTTGTGTAATGTCCTCCGAGATAACCACGGTTGTGATTTAGGGCTACACAAGAAAAACTGAATTGATTTGAAATTTGTGTCAAAACAATTCCGGGTCAAATTTATGTTTATGGTGAAAAAGTAAGAAATGTAACCATGAGGAGAAGAAAAATAAGCCATGTCATTGTTGTGCCGGTGCGTGAAGCCAGAGGGCAGCAGAGACCCACCTCCAGGCTCTTGATCCAGATGAGCTGATGTGAGCTGGAGTCCCACAGACACACTTGACGGTCATATCCACACGTGAGGAAGTGAGGTCTGGAGGGGTGAGCAGCCAGGCCCCACAGTTCATCCACATGACCCTGGAACAGCAGGAGAAGGGGCTCTCAACACAAAAGACACGGCAAAGGGACACAATCAAAATCCAAAAGACTGCAATTGTGTATGCGCTTTTCAAACAAAAACATGACTAAAGACAAGACTAACTTCAAATTAGGAATATTTCTGACATAACGCAATTAGATATTTTGAACACACCAGAGTCTGCAATGACACCAACCTGAGTGATGGGCACAAACTCCCCATCCAGACTGCCCTGGAGGATCAGGTTCTTCGTGGTCCCGATCAAGACTGTGTCCCCTCGACCTTCAGCAATGGTCCTGATGGGGCCAAACACCTCCGGGACCTGCGGAGAAACCAGCCCAGGAAATGATCACATGACTTTTTGAGTGGCCAGTAACTTTTAACTTGTTGTTGTGATGAATTAATAAATGAAACTGCAATAAAATGCACACTGAAAACAAACTGATGACTGGTCTTTGTAATTCTTAGTGTAATAAAAGTTGGAGCATCTATTTGTTTTGTTTAATAAATAATTTAAATCTATCTTATCTATCAAACAGTGAATATTGTCCAACAGGAGCTGCATAATATGCCAGATTTATCCATCCATCCAGATCCATCTTCTTCCTCTTAATCCATTTCTGGGTCAGGGGGTGGCAGTCAGAGCTGCACCCATTTTTTTAATGCCAGATTTATCACAAAAAAGCCCTTTGAGTCACTAATTGACACTTTGCACTGGAGATGATTGGCTGAGGGTGGTCCACTCTCTATCACTTTTCCATCTAAAAAAGATGATCTAAAGAGGAGACAGGCCAGAAAATATATGAAAACTGTTCCTTTTAGTGTGGTTTGAGAGTGTGTGGTGCATAACCCTCTGTACAAAGTGAAGACTGATGCTTACCTCCACAGCCTGTATCTGCTGCAGACTGCTGTCCCAGGACACCAGTCTGCGGTCCTTCCCCCCAGACACCAGGGTCCCGTTCCGTAGCATGCACAGGGTAAAGATACTGCCCTCGTGTGCCCCGGAGATGACCTGGCTGATGCGGTTAGTGCCTGGTGGTCCAACAGCAGAGGGGGAAGACACTTTTCAACACATTTTACACATGTACATGGCCTTCTTTGTCCACCAGGAGATAAGCACACTGGTGCACTTTTGTTTATGAGGCCATACTTGGTCTAAAAAAAAAAAACTGACATCCATGGTCAGTGTGGAGTTTTACCTTTGGCCCAGACCAGGATGTTTCCACTGGAGTCGCCGGTGATGGTGTCTCCGTTCTCCGTAAATGTCACACACAGAACAAACTTGGGCTTCTCTTGTTTCTGTCAGAACAAAATCACATGTCACAGAGGCCAAAACATACATGAGCCACAATTCCACAGCAGGAGTTCCTGGGAAAAGGAGGGAGGTGGAACTTCTACAGGAACCCCGTAGAAGTCCCTCAGTCCTCTCAGTGGCCGCGTCTCCACTGCGGAGGAGGACCTCTCTGCAACGTCATGGCTTTCGATTGCTGGATAAGTGAAACTCATTACACCAAACCAATCTATTCATTTTACGGTCAGAACCGCTCCGGTTGTTGTGGTCATTGAGTTTTTTATACACTTGCTTCAGTTTTAAAAAAAACTTTTCATGGCATTGTTTTAGGGTGTGATGAATCGCCAGTGCTTCGAGGTTCCCTGACTTAATATATCTTTTCATTTCCCTGCGATGCCTCAAACCCCATCTGAATCAATGTCTTCACCTCATCATCAGCCCATTTACCGTACATCTTGCATTAAGCCGCCCCGCACCAAGCGGATCTGCACCATGCCGCCCCGCACTACGCCGCACCACACCGTACCACGCAGCACCGCGCAAAGGAGGTGGGGCCGCCGTGTGATGATTTGTTGCTGTAGCCATAGAAGAACGTTTGTCAAATTGTAACGAATATGATGATTAGAGCTGTTTGGCACCCCTTGTAAAACTTTGCCTAAATCTGTAGGGGGCGCTAATGGGCCAATTTCAAATATTTCACTTTCACCTGACCTAAACCCTGGAGTTGAACATTGGGTTCAAGTTTTGTGCAAATCAGACTTTGTTTGTAAAAACGGGAGAAAATAGAATGTTGTCCAAAACGGCCAAAAAACACTCACATTTTGCCGCTCTGCTGCTCAAACAATGTTTCACTGATCATAAATCCCTGAGGTCATTTTGAAGATAGTGTTGAGATGATGTGGAGATGATGTGGAGCAATTTTGAGGCGAATCAGTGAAACGGCAGAGGAGGAGTCGCTTTCCAACCGACATGTATGAAAATGATTGCGGATAATTTTTCCATTTTGCAGTGAAATTTATGGGCTTCCTGTTTGTCAGAGGGCGGAGCCATTATAACATTTTGGTCGTATCTTGACTTGAGGAACATGTGTACCGAATTTCATGGCTCTATGACAAACTTGATCTCTGAAACTCCCATTGGCTGTTGTAGGAGGCGCTGTTCTGGCATTTTTTGAGTCCCATAAAAATAAATACCCAAATATCAAATTTTTCACCAGGTCTGATGTTTGGGCAAAATTTTACAACTTTTCATGCATGTTCAGGGGGTGAAATTAAGGCTCAAAGTGCAGAATTTGACATATCTCGAGCAAAAACAATAGGCCCTTTCCCCGTTCGGGGCTCGGGCCTAAAAATCAAATCTGGGAAAAATAAAAAATTCAGCTCCTCCCTCTGGTGGTAGCATAGAGAGTTACAGGCAGAAAGCATGTTTCACCCTTGGTACTTATCTAACCATACATTTTCCACTGAAGAAAAAGTCTATATATTTATATGCACAATACAAGTGTGTTACCTCAAACAGCCCCTGCTTCTTGCTCAGCGTCCCTTTCTCCATGTTCCAGAAGTACAGATGGGACTTGCCGCATGTCACCACCACGTTGCTGTCCGTGGGGTGGAAGTCCGCAGCGAACACAGACTCGTTGGAGCACTGGGGTCACAGACAGAAGGGTCCTCATGAAGACATAAACGTGACACGTATGGTTTCCTTCCGTTTGAGGCTTACCTTGACCTCGGCCAGTCGGGTCTCTCTCTGCCACTCCCACACTGACAGCACATGGTCGTTGGAGTCATCAACAGTGCAAAGTGAATTCCCTCCATTCTGTGGCACACAAACAGTCAGTTGTTCCTTGCCGAATCAGGAGGATGTAACGATATTAATGATAATCTATTAATATTTATGGACATTGATCATCTGCCTTTCATGGACTAATGACTAATGTGTTTTTTGTCGTTGCATATCCTGTGTTTGAACTGTTGGATTCTCTGATCTGTGGTGGAAAATCAACAACTTTGTAAAGTCTTCCGAGATAAGTACTGTTGTGAAAATATAAATAAATGTTCAAAAATATATAGAATTGAAATGAAAAAATCTCAAAATGACTGAAAAAAACAAATGGTTTAAACACTACACTAGGCCCTGTAGATTTGGCCTTTACATTTTCTCTATTTACAGACACCTGCAAGTGCTGTGAAGTAATAGAAAAACCCATAAAACAGCAAATGCATAAATATATCTTACATTTTAATACAATGTTGTACTTATCTATTAGAATACCCTCCAGCTTCACTTATTTTTTTCTGCATCAAGAATTATCAAAATTTTTAATAATGAATGAATGTTTATTCTTACCGACTTGGAGAAAGCCAGGCAGACCAGGCCGCGGTCGAAGAAGCCCATCCCCAGAACGTGGAGAGTGTTGAGACTGACGGAGTCCCACACCCGCACATGGGGAAGTTGCTGTACAGACAAACACAAACACACACACACACACACACACACACACGGACAGACAGACACACATTGAGTTCAGTGTTTTGGCAACACAGTAATTTGAAAATGTTGAATGTTAATACAAATACTTTTTGTGTTGCCAATATTGTCAAATAAACACATTATTCATGTATCTATATCAGTCAGTGTGTTTTAATGCATGCTGCTAGTCACAAACACACACTCATTCACCCAATTGTACATCAAAGTTTATCAATCAAAGTTTATTTGTATAGCACTTTACAACAACACCAGGAGGACCAAAGTGCTTCACAGAGAGATTAAAACAAATTAAAACACAAAATGAAAACAACCAAGACACAATTCAGTGTGCCCTAAGTATTAAAAGCAAGTTTAAAAAGATGAGTCTTTAATCTGGACTTAAAAAGGGACAGGTCCGTGAGAACACGCAGACTGAGTGGCAAGCTGTTCCACAGTTTAGGCGCTGCAACCCTGAAGGAACGTTCGCCCCACTGTTTGTAGTGGGACCTGGGCACATCTAGAACCATTTGATTGGCAGACCGGAGAGCTCTGCTGGGGCGATGTACGGTCAACAACTCAGTTGTACATGTTTTTAGTGTTAGGGGAAACCTGAGCATCTGGAGGAAACCTATGCAGACACGGGGAGAACATGCAAACTCCACTCAGAGAAGTCCTGTCTGGATGTGGAATCAAACCCAGGACCTTATCGTTGTGAAGCCCAAGCACTAACCAATGCGCCATTGTGATGTTGTCAATCATAATTTCCAAAATGTGTAGAAAAATGTTGTAGAATGTGCAGAAATTGTAGATAAATGTATGAAACAGGCTTTTGTGACCATGGACAATATACAGACCTTTCCATCAGACGAGGTCCCTGCCACCTGGCCTGTTGCTATGGTTATTTTGTCTGGATGGACGGCAAGGCTGAGATGAGACAAAAAATGTATTAAATAAGATTGATGAGGGGAAAATGAAGAGTGATCATTTATCTAGACTTGTAAGTATATATTTTACTTCTAAGCACCTATTCATTTATTATTTTATTTTAGACTTTTTTGCAGGGTACAAGAGGACTGCATTATTGTGAGTAATAGAATAATATAAAATGAAACATCAAAATCTATAATATTTTAACATATTTGACGAATACACGTTTTAGTCTCATCTTGTCACAAAACACAGAATTGCAATTTTAGAACATGGACGCAATATATTGTGTATCAGATGTAACGGTATCTTGTTAAAACAACATAGCAGTCAGACACATTACCATTTGATATCGTCCGTGTGACCGGTGTAGTGTCGCTGCAGCTGTTCGTCCACGTTGTACAAGACCACCACTGAGGCCATGAAGTACACGGTCTCTCCAGTGGGCAGCAGAAACAGGTTTGAGCGGCAGTCTCGACCCCTATAACCATAGCTGCACTCTAGTGGTCAAGGCTCTAACCAAACCACACCACACAAAACCAAACCAAACCACAGAACATAGGACTACACAGTTAGTTGTAGATTTTTGATCAGTTAAATGGTATATTCACGGCAGACTCAACTTTTTTCTGTAATTTCTGTGGTGAACATTGGAACTCACTCATCGATCATATTCAATACAATTTTACAAAATCAGGATTTCCTCCATGACAGCAGTGAAGAGGCCGCATCAGCGTCCACTCTTTTGCAAGATACAGCAAGGGCCTTTAGATGTCGCTTGCAGCTTTAATTTGCTATTTTCTTTGTTAATCCAGATATAAGCCATAAAAAGATTATCAGATAAGATAATCAGATGCTAGCAACACATCTGCCCCTCTTATGGCACAAAGCTAATGCTGCCTCAAATCTGCCTCTTCCACATTCAGCTGAGCTAAGACTGTGGTGACGTCAGCACTCCGTCAGTCCATTAAAATACAATTAATGCTTTATATTTTGATTCAAATACCTTCAATTCAAATCTACCTTTTACTTAAACAGCTCAAACGAGTTCTTTAGACCATCAGAGTAAAGGATACACCCAGTGGAGCTTGAGGCGGGAGGCGGGCAGTTCTCCCCGGGCCTCCAGGCTGAAGTTGTCCACCCTCTCTTTGGGCATGTGCATAGTGACGGGTCGGCCCTTCAAAAACAGCTTGACATAGCCTTCCTCTGGAAGAAGCACACACAGTCAGGACATCTCCATGGTGACGGGCCGCAATCAGGGAGGGGAGGGGTCAAAAGCATGTGGGAGAGAACTTACAACACACACTTTATTCATACTGTATTCAGACTTCAGCAGAGCACACACACATGCTATGAGCAAAGTTCCATTCCAGATTCAAAGTCACAACAATAACAAGCTGCAACATCACCTGCTGTTTGTAAAAGTTAACAAATCTAATTGTGTTAGGTTTTGTGAATTTGTAACACAGAGCCCTGTGACTGTCACTATTTGACACTTCGGGGTGAGTGAGGGTGGTCCTCTCTTTTTCACTATTCTGTCTTAAAAAGCCTATCTACAGATGAGACAACGGACCAAACTTACAGACAAAACTAGTGATAGAACCAAACTGTTTTGAGAGTGAGGAACTAGTTTGATAATGAGCTTCATACTAGGGCTTTAACAACCTATAGTTTCAACCAAATGAAACACATTCCTCACTTCACTCTTTTGACAGAACTCCATAAGAGCTTCCCAGTCCTCTCAACTTAGAAAAAAGTTGTTTTAGGCCCTCTGTGGAGAGCACAGAGCCTGCTGGGACGGCTGGTTTGAGAATACTGATCCAGTGTTCAAAAGTGATTTAAAGCAGTGAAAATGTCTCCCTCCTAAAAGCCCAGTTCTATTCAAATCCAAACGTATGTGATTATCTTGGCCAAAGCTCCCATGTGAGCATATATCAACCTGCAGAATAATAGTTTCATACGTATTTCAGTGGATTAATTCTAATAATTCCAGCACATGGACCATAAGCACTTCAACCTTTCTCCTTTCACTCTTCCTTTTCACTCACTCTTGCACACCGCAACAGCTACATTTGAAAAGAAAATCAATATTTTCCACCTATAGGCCGCACTCGAGCATAAGCTGCAGGTTGAATTATTACACTTAACTCACTCACCCAATAAATTCGTACATTTTAGACTGAAACAAAATTCCATCTTTATGTTTGGAGTCCTAAACATGTTGAAATATGCAAACGTCGTAGTTCTTTTGCAAACCACTGTACATTTGATGACTGACAAAAACATAGATTACATTATTCCAAGTTAATCTAAAAGCAAAACTCAAGTGAAAAGCAGGAAAAATGTGAGCTTCTGGTGAAAAGAGAGCGAGGAGCCGTGTGTGTGTGTGTGTACTGCAGCAGAGCCAGTGGAAAGTTTAAACTGTTGCCGTGGTGATAGAGCATTGTGCATTGAGTGAGTGGAGGAAGGTTGAGAAAACTACAAAAAATCTAATATTCATCGATTTGGAAAACTCATATGAAAGTTGGAGGGAGAACCAATATAAGGAATCTAAATATAAATGCAAGCTTAGTAAGAAAATGTATAATGTTTCTAACTTTATCATTCTTTAAAACTTTGTAAATAATTTGTTTTATAGTAAAATATTTTCTAATCGGCTGTTGGTAAATCAAAAATTCTGTGAAAACCTTGGAGACCACTACTGTTGAGATATTGGGTACTATTTGGCCCGATTTGACAACAAAAATTAGAGCTCATTGTCAAAAAAAAAAAAAAATAGTTGTATCAAATGTGGTGGTCAAGTATGCAGAGTGATCATTAGTATTGCATCGGGTTTAGTTTGGTGACACTACAGTGAAACACTCGTGAAAAGTGCACACAGTCCCCCCCCCCTTTTCCTGCCTGGGCTGCAGTGGCCTCAGAGGGTGGGCCAAGAGCTGGGTCCTACCTTTGCAATGGGTCACACGGCGATTTCCTTTGTAAAGGTCAGAGAGAGACTGGTGAGGACACTTGCTATTGGTGCTAACACTAACACTGATTCCTGCTGGTGCGGCTGTCCAATGAGATGTCCAGACAATTGTGTACGGAAATTCATGATTCTGATACTACTAATAACACTACAACTACACAACTTGACAAAATTAACTGACGACAGAAACATTAGAAAAGACATGACCATGAACTGTAGAAAAGAGTGGACGTACTGTGTGCTTTGGCTTTTCCCACAAGAAGATAATTAGAGCTAACTTGAAAAGGCTTCACGGGCAGGAATCTGGAGCTAAATTCTAAGAAGAGCTAATCAGCGGGCCTGTTCCTGTTCGTGCAATTTTCTAGCCAAAGCTGACTTCAGGGACAGAAGACTCCTAATTGGTCATTACCGGTAGTCTAGAGTCATATCTTCCAAAGCAATAATCAAAATATAAACAAACATATCGGGTGTAAAACCGCAGAGCTAGCATGTTAGCATTGACCACTCCTACATAGTTTATTTTTGTGACAGAGAGGGGTACTTCAATTCCATTCAATTTATTCTTAGGTCATGTCTGATGTATGAATAATAGGTCAAGTATAATGTATGAGGACAAAGAACCAGAGTATCCTTGTGACACAGGCGGCAGGACTTACCTGGGTTAAAGACGGGCTCCCTGGGTTTGCTGTAAGAGAAACACATGAGAATGTTAACAAAGCACCAACGAAAACTGGAGCCCTAATTTCATTCACGAATCATGTAAACTTGTGTGCTACGATTGAGGTGAAATCTGGTCTGTTTATGTGAACAACAGAAAGCCAAGGCTTAGAAAGTTCTTCATTTAAGACGAAAGTGTAAAGAAGCTAGTACTGCTTAATTACCTGACATGTTTTGGCGGTAGTAACAGTAGTAAGAGCACACAAAATATATACAATATAAGTAGCTGCTATGTTTCTTAGTAACAACACAAAACAATTGTCAGTAACAACAGATAACATTATAGAGGTTCTGAGCTTCACAAGGTACAACATGCCATTATTGGTAGAGCTGAAGTTGGCTGGATGACAATGTGAATTTGTGTTTATGCGCCCATAGACTGCTTTAGGTTAGCAAAGCAGAGGGCCACATAAAATGACACAGAAGGCTGAAATTGGCCCTGAAATGTGAACAAAATGCACTTTCTCTTCAACTATTACTGGTGCGGTTTATAAACAGGTGTGCGTTATAATCCAGACAATACGGTACTTCTTCTTCATGTGCTTTGTAAAGGTCGTGTGGTGTGCAGATGTCACCTGTCGCTCCTCCTGCCGCTGGAGTTGCTGCCCGTGGATCCGGCTCGTGTTCTCTTGCTGTCTGCAGAGTCCTTCCGGGTCAGAGAGCTCATGTGTTCGTTGGAGTTGGCTCTCCTCACAGTGCTGCAGGAAGAAACCACACTATAGTCATCAAAGCGTCAGGCTGCAGGTGATATATTTAAATATAGAACGGCATTCCTGAAGTGGAGGTTGGTTTTGTTTGAAGGGAAATATAATAAAATTGTCTTCCTCCTTCTGTTTCTTCTTCTGATGGATAAATAAATAAAAGGTCAGATGAATAGATACTGATACTATCTGATTTTCAAACTAATAAAAAGATACGACCAACTTTCACAGCAAAAAAATTATCAATATAAGGTCATAATTGCTTGAATCAAGTGTTTTTATCTTAATGTGAGAGATTTGTCAGATTTGTCAATGTGACAAACAACAATATATTGTTTTGAACAGATATAAGACAATTCAAGAAATATCTTCCTTTGAATGAGAAATAAACTGCAATAGCACTAGAAATAAGACTAAACGGCTTGTTCAGTTGGCAAACCTTGTTTTAAAAAAACTCAAAGATAAAAACACTTGATTCAAGCATTTATTACTTAATATTTTTTTGAAGTGTTGATACCATGATGATTTAAGCTACAATAAAAATAAAAAAATATACAAAACTGTAGCACTATTTATTATACCCCAATCTCACATCAAGTTATAATATTTTATTGATATGTGATTTTTGAGACATGAGAAAATCATTGATCCTTGTGTGTAATTCTGTTTGTGCTGTACAATAAGCCTCTAATATAATATATTCTAAAGCTTAGGTCCAGTTTTATGTTTAATGATTTTGTAAAAGCTGCTTATTTGATGTCAAGAGCAGTCTGCCCGAGTCGAGCGGCCGACAGTGTGAGCACAATGAAAAGGCCCTATCAGCAGTCCGCCCGCTGTAATCCAGAGCCTTTCACCGAGCCACACTGCAGCTCCACAGGGCCTTTCACAAGAGCTGACAGTGGAGCATGATGGGAACACTGGGGAAGTTTGATGTAATGCTCTGAACGTCCATGGTGGGAGAGAAGTGATGTTAAAGTGGACTGTTCTTTACAATATGATCATCTATGACTCCCGTGGGTCATTCTTACGTTTACGGCTCATATACTGGTCCTGGACTGGTTCAGAGCAATCTCAGCTTGGAGAGAGCGCTAGTTACCATAGCAACACACTGTTAACTTGCATCAAAAACTGAAAGAAGTAGTGGAACGATTTTGCTTTGCAGACAAAGTTGCCATGATATTTTTTACTTGCCAGCAATAATGACCTTGTGAGGTGGGTGGATCCTTAAAACAGATGCCGAAAATAAATTCTCCAAAGAAAGTAAGTAAAGGTGCCGACAGTTAAAGGACTGAGGGGTTAAAGGCGCACAAAAATAAGAGGAAAAAATGTCAAGATGATCTGTTAATGAAAAATTATAAAGATAGGACATTATTTTATTCTCAATGCAACATGATACAACGTTTGGGAGGTTGCACCTGGAGAGTTAACACAAAAGATTTGTTTTTGTATTCTTTATGAAGAAGATGCTCCATAAAGAATCAATACAAATGGCTTTTTTAATTTTTCAGGCATTTAACCTAATGGAAAAACAGGCCCCCGTCCAGATACGTGTCAGGTTTGTAGAGATGCAAGCTCGCTCACAGTAAAGACGCCTTTTTTAAATCATCAACATTCTTAAGAAAAACACCCAAAATGAAAGAAAAGTGTATTTTTTAACATATCTTTTGAACTATGTTGTGTCACTTTACACATCTGTGCAATAATAACTTTAAAAATGTCAGAATGTCCAATATAGAACCACGTGTGTTACTGTCACTTTACTGAGTACCTTTGTCCCAGACCCTCCTGCTGCTAACATGCACAGATGTAAACACACAACTATATATCACTTGCACTAGAATATACTGCATTTTATACTTGCTCCTTATTATGCTAAAGTTGAAGATTATAAGACTTCTTTCCTCATTATCCTGAAGCTAGAGATGTTGCTGCTTCTTTTTATGCAATTAGTTATAGTTATTATTCATTTATCTTAGCAGAGGATGTACTTCCTGCGGCAGCTCAGGAAAGCCAAGCTGCCTGCACAGATGTTGGTGCAGTTCTACACGGCCATCATCGAGTCCATCCTCACCTCCTCCGTCACCGTGTGGTTCGCTGGAGCCACAGTCAGGGACAAACAGAGACTACAGCGCATTGTGCGCTCTGCAGAGGAAGTGATCGGCCGCAGCCTTCCATCGCTGCAGGACCTGTACGTCGCCCGAGCTCGAGGCCGGGCTGGTTGTATCACAGCCGACCCCTCTCACCCTGCACATGGACTATTCCAACCACTCCCCTCAGGCAGGAGGCTGCGGTCCATCAGGACTAGAACCTCCCGCCACAAGAACAGTTTCTTCCCCTCTGCTGTTGGACTCTTGATCACTTCTTAACCTGTCCCCCCGCCCTTTATAAAGTCACTTTACTGCCCATCATACGTCACTTCACTTCACTGTACTGCTGTCACCTTACATTGTGTGCACCATGTGCACTTGTATATTGTAAATAGTAACTGTAACTCTATTTTAAATTTAAATTTATTCTTTAGAAGTGTTTTTTATTATTATTTTTATTATCTCTTTTTGACTGTTGCACTGAGCCAAAGCAATTTCCTAGTCTGTGACCTCCTGTTACTTACGTGGCAATAAAAATGATTCTGATTCTGATTCTGATTCTGATCTTGTGCTGTGTGCTCCTCATTCTTACTGTTCTGTAACTTGTGGTGCAACACTGAAAATTCCCAACAAGGTCACAAGGTTTTAAAATGTTCTGATGTTATGTTTTTAGATGAAGGCAGTTTTATTGTTGGTATTTTATGCGATGAGAAATGACTGAAGTTGAGCAGAAGAATTAGAAGGCGATGATGAGCAGATTGACCAGTGGCTGTGCTCTCACCTGAGGGACAGCCCCAGGATTCTAGAGTGGTACAGAGAAGACAGACGGGACACACTGACAGACACACAAGGGTGAGTGGACATCACAAGCATTGATTCTAAACATGAACTAAACATACATACAGTATACAAATACAGTATACAGGCATCCAGGAGGCATCCGGAACAGATGCCCGAGCCACCTCAACTGGTTCCTCTCGACGTGGAGAAGCAGCGGCTCTACTCCGAGCTCCTCCCGTGTGACTGAGCTCCTCACCCTATCTCTAAGGGAGCGCCCAGCCACTCTGCGGAGGAAGCTCATTTCGACCGCTTGTATCCGCGATCTTGTTCTTTCGGTCATTACCCAAAGCTCATGACCATAGGTGAGGGAGGGAACGAAGATTGACCGGTAAATCGAGAGCTTTGCCTTTCGGCTCAGCTCCCTCTTCACCACAACGGTCCGATACAGCGACCGCAACACTGCGCACGCTGCACCGATCCGCCTGTCAATCTCACGCTCCATCCTTCCCTCACTCGTGAACAAGACCCCGAGATACTTGAACTCCTCCACTTGAGGAAGGACCTCTCCACCCACCTGCAGAGGGCAAGGCACCTTTTTCCGGTCGAGCACCATGGCCTCAGATTTGGAGGTGCTGATTCTCATCCCAGCCGCTTCACACTCTGCTGCAAACCGCCCCAGTGCATGCTGCAGGTCCTGGTTCGTTGGAGCCAACAGGACAACATCGTCCGCAAACAGCAGAGATGAAATCCTGTGGTCTCCGAACCGGACCCCCTCCGACCCCTGGCTGCGCCTAGATATTCTGTCCATAAATACAGTGAACAGAACCGGTGACAAAGGGCAGCCCTGTCGGAGGCCAACATTCACCGGGAACAGGTCTGACTTACTGCCGGCAATGCGAACACAGCTCTGGCTCCGGTCATACAGGGATCGGATGGCCCTCAGCAGAGGACCCCCGACCCCGTACTCCCGGAGAACCCCCCAAAGGACACCCCGGGGAACACAGTCGAACGCCTTCCCCAAATCCACAAAGCACATGTGGACAGGTTGGGAGAACTCCCATGAACCCTCGAGTATCCGATGGAGAGTATAGAGCTGGTCCAGTGTTCCGCGACCGGGACGAAAACCACACTGCTCCTCCTGGATCCGAGATTCGACCATCGGCCGTAGCCTCCTCTCCAGTACCCTGGAGTAGACCTTACTGGGGAGGCTGAGGAGTGTGATCCCACGATAATTGGAACACACCCTCCGGTCCCCCTTCTTGTAGAGAGGGACCACCACCCCGGTCTGCCACTCCATTGGCACTGCCCCCCAAAGGGTGATCATTTACTGTATGTAATGTGTTATTTTTTAACTAAATGTAGATATGTATGTGTCCCCATGTAGTAGGTGAACTTGTACAAATTAAACCTTTTCTGAATACTAATTTAAAGTGGAGTCATTTATTCTTAATTAAAAATACAGAGGCCATGATGTCTTTATTATTTACTGTATGTTGATGATTTTCAAACAGATTATCCAATCATGAGGCTCTCAAATGAGTTTCCAGTTTGACTTGGCTCTTTTTTTAACACATGGACTGCCAACCGTTGATTTCACTGATTCTCAAGACCCACAGATTATTATGTGCTATGACAATGTGCAATATGAAACCAGATTCTGAAAGATTGGATTGTCTAATTTCATCAGAGTTTGTTTTTAGCTAGTTTTGTTCTCCTGAAATCCCCAGTGGAATAGAGGGAAGTTTGACAGAAATCACGAGTCTCAGACAAATACATAAATGGCAGTCAATGAGTTAAACAAAATCTAAAAGTGAATGTGTTTGAATTAAATCAGATGTTGTGAGAGTTTGTATTGTTTCAAGCTAAACCTCAGTGCATGTGTAAGGTGTAAGATTCTAGCTACAAAAGTTTATAGAATATAAGTAAGAAATCTTTATTTATATAGCGCCGTTCACAGACCAGTCACAAAGAACTTTACAATTGTGAGCATTTGTCTGTCACTCCACACAGAGATGGGAGCGAGGTTGCCATACAGGAGGCCCATGCCGGACCTATTTTACATGTTTTTAGTTAGAGCACCCGGAGGAAACTTACGGAGACATGGGGAGAACATGCAAACTCCGCTCAGAAAGGCCCCGTTCTGAAAGTGATTCAAACCTTCTTGCTGAAAGTTAGTTCTGTCCCATCAGCCACTGTGCCATGATTGTAAATAGAAAATTGACTTTATTAGACCAGTAAGAGTGCATATTACATACAGCCCCTTTAAAGTTTGGGAAGATGAGGACAAAACTCTGGCTTTTGTCACAGTCTTGATACATCAGAAATACCCTCACCTCTTATTAGATGCAGGACCAGAGTCTTTCCTGCTCCCGGACCCAGACGGGGACGGGAGACCGCTGCCTTTCTTTGGTAGGACTGTCCCATTGTTGACCATAGGCCGCACTGGAAGAGTGGCAATCATTGGTCGAGCTGAGAACAGAAGATGTAGGAGTATTTACATCACTGGAGAGGAAGAAGAACAACATTTTGGAACAAGAACAGTGGAGCGGGAAGTTGCCTGCTCCCACAACAGACAGGCGTGATATTAGATTAGTAATGAGTCTTCCCACATCATCCAAGACATGCATGTTTTTGGCAATTCATGACAACTGCTTTTTTAATGGAGATATATTATGCAAACCGGCCCACTAACAATTTTGCTGGAACTCTGCCCCTTCTGTTTTAAAAGCTCCCGTCTCAGTCCTTTAATAGTATCATGTCATTATACCACTATGACATCACACTCAAAAGAAAAGTATTTCCCTCAGTAGATTTGTTTAATTAATAAGTATACTATAATCTGTATAACTATGATCTGTACAATTAATAATTTACAAATTTGGAATGAAAAACAAAAAACTCTGGTGGGGTCATACGGGAGATATGAAGAGTTTTTCTACTGAAGATATTGTTTCAGTAGTACTCTCATTACAATTAAAGGGCCAAAAATACTGCATAATATTTCTTCTTTAAAGGAATGAGAGATGTATTATTGTCGTCAGAGCTGAGTGAGTGTCACAAGGCTGCCTAAACAAACAGTGGATAGTGAATTATGTGACCCTATCAGGAACAATTCATCAAAAGGAAGATTGTATACGCACAATGCACTATCACATATCTCCCAACATGAAAAAAATGCAAGATTAAAAGTCAAATGTAAACGGCAATATATGACAAAACGGAAATGTCTTTGTGAGGAGGAGGCAACATTGAGTGCGTTTACAAAGCAGAATAACAATTCATAAAAAAACGCAGTCCATTCGCTGGGATTATCAAACAGGGCTGACGAGTTTTGATCTCGTCTCCGTGTCCCTTAGGACGCTTTCACTTAATGCTCAAACTTTGTAACTTTGAACAGTTGGCAAACGTAATCACACAATTTAATGTTTACTTTGGGTATTTGATTTTCACACATTTTTACCTGCTGCAGCATCAATCTTAGAATTTTCATGACGCTCTTAAAAGCACCATTCCTGTTAAGTTTCGCTTTTGCTTTGCATAACAACACAAAGCAACAAAACCTGTGCAGCAAGAAACTGTGTATTGATCCCAAAGTAAATGAGTGAGTCTTCTATACCGGTCCAATCACACACATTTCTAATATAAACGTTGCTTTTCCCTGTGATCATAAATGCATCACAGCCTGTTTTTCCTATTTTTCATGATTAAATGCGCGCTGACCCACAGTAGAGTATAACTGGGTTTGCACACTTCATTTGGCGTGCACCTGTTTACATACGTCTTTATCAATCGAATGGAACAGGTGGAAGATTTTTCACTTTCAGAATCAGAATTGTTTTTATTGCCATTGTAGGTAACAGGAAGTCACAACGAACGAATTTGCTTTGGCTCATGGTGCAAGTTATAAGAGTAAAAAAAAGGTATAATATATATAATTCTACAAAAATAATTGTAAACACACTCAATGCACACAAGAACGCGAGCTCTGAAAAGATTTTAAACACACAAACTGTAGAAAAAATTGGATTTGAAGGTGACTGCAGAAATGATGACAGAATGTTCTACCCAGAGTTGAAATATGCAGATGAAGGCCTTGAAGCTATGGAAGCATCCACTTCGAGATTTCCTTCAGTAAAAACACACACACGTCAGTCAGGAACCAGCTGAGGACACACGGTGCAGCACGAGGACCATGAGTGACTTTGTGAAAAAGTGACAAGCGTCGGCCACGAGTCCTACCTGTCCTACCCACACTGCTGTCTGCGGACGGGGACTTTCTCATCCCTGCAGCTGCTGAACACCAGTCGCATTTACAGCACAATCAAAGATGAAGAAACGACAGGGAGAGAACAAAGTGTGTGTGACAGGTTACATTCACACAAGGATTGATTCACAGCGGGACAGAGCCTCTAGGAAATGTTGACAGTTGACTGCTCGTAGGAATCAGTAGGTGACTCAAGGTGACAAAAAAACAATAATACAGTCTTCTCATATGACTGCACTGCAAAACTATTGTGTAAAATAGAAGAGTTTTATTTGTGGTTGGTATGGACTCATGTCATATCTGCAGCTCGAGTCCAACCAGGAAATAACATTTTAAACTGAAGAAAACTTTAAACACGACGGATAGTTTTCCTCATGTTTTGTCAAATACAGTATGTTATATGTTTTATATACCTGTATATTGACCTGAACTATAATCAAGTGACATGCGTAATAAAACCTAATTTAAGAATTTTGCCTGCTTTAACTTTTTACTGCTCTAGTTCTTTGTGTTCAGATACATGTTAAGATGCTGTATTAATAGGAATTTTACTTTTTGACTTTATTTACAAAAAATGAATACACTGTCTACAATATTATTGAGTGTAGAGTGAGGAGCCATAGTCAGAGCTGTCACTCTGTTGGTGGCTTGATCCTTCATGGACCTGTCATGTGTCAAGGGAAACATGTTAACAGGGTAATTCCATCTAACCCAGTGGTTGTCTGTCAATAAGCCTACTCTACGCTGTCATCTGAGTGTTGAGCAGAGGAGTGTGTCTGGGGCAGAGTGGTACCTTTGGTGGGGCCCCTGCGTGAGCCCAGGGCCTGCTGCTCCTCGGACATGTTGAGCCTTCGCACCACATCAGCCAGAGCCGACTTCAGCAGCTGGATCTCATCCTCCTGCATCTGGACCCTCTGCTCCAGGGAGGCGAGGCGGTCCGTCACCTCCATGCTGCTGCAGGCCGACGCACTGTCATCTGCAACCACCCAAGGGATACAGTAAGTAAGAAGCAAGTCATATTTATCTATATAGCGCAAATGACAGACCAAGGCCACACAAAGCGCTTCACAACAATCTCAGGCATTCACCCACAAAACAGGTGCCACATACGGCAGATTCACATTTCGGAGTTACCAATGCTTCCATTTTCCGAATTCTTAAAGATGAAATGCCAAAGAAAATATTCTCAAGATCACGTTAAACAAAATTGAAAAAAAGAGATGCCTTAAGCGTTCTTTAAAGTGCAAAGTTTAAGCTGCACTATAACCTCATTAACATGGTTATGCTGAATCTAAGAATGAGAGAGATGGTATTTGTCATTTGTCTGAAAAAAAGTGAAGATGTGTTGTGCATATTTGAAATAAATAATCAAAATCTAAAAATCTTGTGAGATATTGCGCGTCTGGAACAATAGACTGAGAGCAGAATAACTTGTATTTTTTTATCATTATTGTCTCTGTGATTTGAATAGAAGTTTAAAATGAATTCAGTCATCGTTAAGATTAATTCACCAAAGTTATCCTTCGTCAAACACGGCCACTCAGTTAGTAGAGAGTGTTAGCATCAAACAAACATAATAATAATACATTTTATTTATATTGCACCTTACATTTACGTCAAAGAAACAGATTTAAAATACAAAACAAAAAACAGAAAAAAGACCAAAACACAAAAAGTACATAAAATATCAATAAACATGAAGAAGTTAAAAGCTCAAAAAATCCCTAATAGGCCTGCTAAAAAAGAAAGGGTTTTATGCCTCACTTTGTAGCAATAATGATAGAAAATGTGTAAAATTCCATATATGCGGTTAGCAGCATTATTCACATATTCCAGGAGCAGTCGTATCAATCAGATACACCCAACGCTTTAGTTCAAGGCAGGACTATGAGTTTACATGTTTGCTGTGAGAAAGCCTTGTTGCTGCTCACCTGATGAGACAGGAGAGAGACAGAGCCTGCCTGTGTCCATTCTCACAGAAAGCCTTTAGTGTTATTATCCCGGGATCATCTGCTGTCGGTCTGCTCCGGCAACAAACACAGCACAATTCTATCAGCTGCTCGCCACAAAGACTGCGAGTATGCACTGGACCAGCTACAGCGAGAGCCACCACGCCCCACTGCCCCACTGTCCGGAAAGACCTTCTAACATTATCCCATTTTCAATTCACTTCACCCTAAACCACAGCAGTATACAGTAGGTATCTAAGAGGACTTTGGTGAGTGACTGCCTAGCCCTGTATTCACTGCTCCGCAAACATTGATGCATTCCATTTTAATTTACTGAGGAATATTGAAGTAAAATATCAAAGCTAAAATAAATAAACTGATAGACTAAAAACAAAAATGGGGAGGGATTTTGTAATTACTAAATCAAAAAATCTATATTGTATGTAATTTCAAAATAACAGCATTTATCAATCATCATTCACACATCATTTACATTTTTCCAAATTTTGACCTAAAGAAAAGTAAAAATGAATGATTTTTGGTTTAGTAAAAAATGTAGAAATAAATAATTTATTTTTGTTTAAATAGGACAAAGCGGTAACATAAGGGGCCAAAAGCATTTATTGTTTACTGTAGTGTATCACTTTTTTTTGGGGATAAATATACTGTGGATTATATACCGTATTTATTGTGTATTCTATATGTATCAAGACAATTGAATCACATTGTTCATAAATATTTAGTTGATAAATACAGTGTAGGCTCTGAAAGACCCCCAACCCCAAATACTGACTCTTTACTGCCAATTACTCGAGCTTGTGTGCAGCAGTTCCACCTGTCTATCAAAGAGTGTCTTAAAACTTTAATGAGCTTTTTTGGCCTGATTTCACTCGAACATTACTCTCACAATCCCTCTTGCATTATTGATCCAGAGACAGTGGCGAGACGGGTCCATCCAAATATTAAATGTCGAGTTTGTACTTTCCTTTTTGTGTGTAAATGACTTTATGAACGATTGGAAATACTTCTTGTCTTTGTGTGCCGAGATTGCCTTGAATCTAATCTCTGCAATGTCCCAGACTGATTATTTCTATGTCATGTTGTCTCTTGATAGATAAGAACCTTGAGGAAAAAATTAGAAAAATGTCATAGTATCTGGCATGCAATGAAAATGTTAGTATAGGCCGATATTATTTATTTTGCTAACGTTATAGATTTTATACTTGCTTCTTTATTACGCAAAGTTATAGATTTCATACGTGCTTCTTTGTTTTGCTAAAGCATATATTTGATTTTGTTTTAGTTAATGTGTCTTGTTTGTCTCTGTTTTTGATTTTGTGGTATATGGAGCTTTTTGTGTGTCCGAGTTAAAGAATTATTATAATAAATTATTGTTGGTTTATCTTGTGCTATGTGCTCCTCATTCCTACTGTTCTGTTAATTTAAAAATGAGAGCCTCGACCAGTTATTCTTATCATGAAGTTACATTGGAATATTGGCAGAGCAAGGCAAGGCACATATCATACACAGGGAACTTAACGAAGTTTAGAGAAAAGAGAAAGCATTAAAATCATACAACTAAAAAGTCCTTTATCTGGTTTTCCTGGCTAAATACTGTCAGTGAGAACAGCCAATGAATGATGTTGTTTTTGCCCTCAGTCCAGAACTCTAAAGTGAGTTCATCTCAGTGGGGAGGCAGACGGAAACAGCCTGTCACAACATTTAACCTGTTTGTCTAAGCCAGAGCTGCCAAGAAAGACGGTTTTATTGCACTGTCATGTTTACGTCATTGAATCAAACTCTCATTGTTTAGGCATCCCTTCATAATTCACATTTTCTACAAAGTCATAAGTACCCATAAGCTGAAATGTAATCACTGTGGACATCCTCCTGACTGGAAAGTTCCCAATGAACCACACCCAAACTTGTAATGATATAATGTGCTTCATCTTTGCATCAGCCTCCTCTGGAGCCGCTCACCACAACGGTCTCTTCACGTCAACATTCATCAACGCCACATATATACATATACATTACTAATAATGGAGATGGCTTTCTGTCACTGATATTTAATTTCAATCAGCCTCTTATATGGACAAGTGTTGAAAATTAGAATGGTCGAACATCAAAGGCAGTGCATCTGGTCTGTCCAATGTAAATGTTGTGGTCATATCAAATAAAACATGTTTAAATACTGTAGATATTGGAAAACTGTAACTTTCAGCTCTAATGTTTATGTCCCAATACCACATAAAATTGCAATTGCATCCCCCGTTCATGCACAAATCACATCTCAAGTCATGTTTGTTTTTAAGGCCACAATAACTCAATTAAACAATTAATCAGGCTGAGAGAATGCAATAATGTCTTCTGTCGCTGTAATAAGAAGGTTCCATCTCCTGCAGGGAGCACAGTGGACCACTGTCCTGAGACAAACAAAGGGACAAAAGAACCATGATCCTGAGGAAGAAGCACTGCTGTTATGGAGCCTCGCTTCCCTTTGGAAAGAATGAGACGCGTGTGCCGCACACAGGGCTGTGCTCACGGGGAATCATCATGTACGAATATATAAGTGTTTCATTTTAACCATTGAGACCATCTCAAAACTAATAAGGCAGAACTAAAATATATGCTGGAATGCATTTTTCTTGGATTTCCTCTCATCCATTGATCCACTGAATTTACCAGTCAACTGACTGGGGACTTGGAGTGTTGTGTGACATCACAGTTGCTATATGAACTCTGTGTCCTCCCTGTCGCTGATACTAGAGCAGAGCAGGCCCCAGGGCTGGCCTTCCCCTCCTCGTTGTGTGTATGTATGGATCCTTTTGTCTACAGACTGTTTGTAAAGATCCTCTTTTACATTTATATTTGGTTTATGCCTAATCTATTAATTCACCACTAAAACTCATGATACAGCGAAAACAACACACATACAAAAATGTGCGAAGGGGTTGGATGAAGCAGACTCTGTCACCCATCCGTCACCAGTCTGAGCTGAGGGCATCACTCTCTCCTCCTCACCTCTTCAGTGATTCTTGTTTGAGTAGTTTCTTTTAAATTGTCTCGGGTGTGAACATGTTTTCGAGCCTTCTGTTAATATGTTCCAAAGGTCAACTCCACGCACTCATAATAACTGGTAATAAAATGTCACATCAGTTTCCCATCAGCTCAGAGGTGTAGATCTGTGTACTTTCTCTTTGACACCAACACCTTTCTCACTGACAGATCAATAGTGACGCAGCTCCGGCCCCTGACAGGAGCAGGATCCTCGCCTCTGCAGCTGGGGCCATGATGGATCTTTTTTTAATAAGCGTCTGGTGGATTCTCTCATCCACAGCAGTAGCAGCCAATTATAATGCTCCGAGTGGGTTTCCCCCCAGGCCATGGACCGGTTAATGTGACCAACGTCACAATTAAGGAGAAACCAGGAGGCAGAGGTGAAGAGCAAGGAACAGGCCTGCATTAGCATAAACATGTTAGCATTACATAGAAGGTTATTAGAATAAGTCAGGTCCATATGTAAATGCATGTTCCATTTATCTCAACTGTCAGCTGGGTAATTACAAGCACAGGTTGTATTGGTACGGCTGAAAGGATTTAGGCATAATGCAATTGTGATTTTGTAAATGTATTTCATTGCGTTTATCAAGTATTACACGTTAAAACACAACTTATCTATTGCTGAAATTGCTTAAATACAATAACTAAGTAATTGGTTAATCATTTTTGACCAAAACCTGAACCAAAACGGGCTGAGAAGAGGTTTTATAACTCCAATAGAGCTAGAATGTCTACAGAATTACATGAAATTGTTCAAATACAGTATTTCTAATCCAAAAAACAATTATGTTACATTGTGGCTGCTCTGCCATAAATTTAGCTTCATTTTGGTCTAATTGGCCACTTTTTAAAAAATGTACACAATTATATCCTGTATAGATTTTATTTATTTTTAACCATTAACACGTTTGCACACTTCTGTCTTTTGCACAATCGGAGTGATTCTATCTGTGCCAAATGTACA